GTTCTACAAATCTATTTTGTTAAGGAGTTCTAGGACAAGAGAAATCATGAGAGATGTCATTTCCATTAAAAAACTTTTCAAAACTTTTGTTTTCGAATTCTCCACTATGATCACTTATGACTTATAATTCTAAACTCTTTCGTTTTGAACTTGGTTACAGAAAGTAGATAGCATATAGTGTGACTCATCCTTGTGTCTTAAGAACTTTACCTATGTCCATCTGCTATAGTCATCTACGATTACTAATCCATACTTGTTACTGCTGATGGATGCAGTTTTCATTGGTTCAAACAAATTTATATGTAGAAGTTCTAATAGTCTAGAGGTAGACACAATATTTTTAGATTTGAAAGAGTTTTTTGCAAATTTACCTTTTTGACATGCTTCACACAGAGCATTTGAGTTGAACTTCAAGTTAGGAAGTCCTCTGACCAGATTGAGTTTTTTAATCTGAGATATTCTTCTCATACTAACATGCCCCAATCTTTTGTGTCATACCCATTGCTCGTCGTTAACGGACATAAGGCATTTTACATTCTGACTTTTTAGTTCAGAAAGTTTTATTTTATAAACGTTGTTCTTTCCCTTACCATTAAAGAAGATTGTTCCATCTTTCTAACTAACTGCTTTACAGGACTTTTGACTAAAGATGATATCATAACGGTTATCACTTAATTGACTTATGGATAGCAGGCTATGCATTAATCCATCTACTAATAGAACATTAGTTATAGAAGGAAGTGTACTGTTACCCATAGCCAATAGTCTTTTCTTTCTGATTGCCTCTGAAACCTATGTATCCTCCAAATTTAAGTTTCGGGTTTTGGAACATATGCTTTCTTCTCGTCATGTGTCGAGAGCATCTAGAGTCCAGGTATCAAGACTGGTGTTTCAACGCTACTGTTAAAGACATATGCAATATAGATAATTTTATCCTTAGATACCCATATCTTTTTGGGTCCTTGTTTGTTAGATTTTCTAAAATTCTGATTGAATTTTGGTTTCGCAAGAGAATTCACAGAGTAAGATTCACTAGTATATTTTATATCATGTATGTGTCCATATGTGAAGTGTGAGTTTAAAGGTGTGTATTTTATGACCATATCATCAACTTGCTTTGGTTGATATGGTTCTTCTCCTTTTGGTTTCACATATCATACACCTTTTCTTCTGCTTCTTCTAACTCCAAAGATCATTGAAGCCATCTTGCTTCTATCTATGTTTTTAGCTAGAAATTTTTGAAAACCATAATCATATTATTTTATGATGCTATCAGAACTAGTTGAAACTTCTGAGACAGATTCTTTCTGAGCTTTTTGTAACTCGTTTTTAATAACAGAATTTTTATTTTTAAGTTTACAGATGGTTTCTTTTAGCTCATATTTTCTGCTCTTAGTTTCTTAGTTTCTTCAAAGTCAGATACTAGACCATGTTTCAGGTTCCTGTATTTAAATTGAAGTTATTGATATTTTTCAAGAATTTCTGACAGACTGTCTTCTAATTGAGATCTAAAAAAGTTAGAGAATACCTCTTCTGCTTTTGAGTCTGATTCTGATTCAGATGAATTAGTGTCATCTGATATGTTGGCCATTAAAGTGATATGTTAACCAGGTTCCTTGCATTTGTAACAAATAACATCTTTGTTTCTTAACTTTTTGTAGCCAGAGGATGATTCAGAATAGCCGCTTGATCTCCTAGGATTTGTAAATTTCTTTTGTCTTTGCTTCCATAGTTGTTGAACCCTTCTGGAGAGAAGAGATAGTTCATCTTCTTCTGATGGGGATCCTCCAGAGCTTTCTTCTTCTGTCTGAAAGGCTTTATTTTCATATTTTTTTATTAGATTTAAGAGCAAGAGACTTACCTTTCTTCTGGGGCTCATCTTTTTCTAGTTTTATCTCGTGACTTCTCAAGGAGCTGATAAGTTCTTCAAGATACATTTTGTTCATATCTTTGACAAGCTTTAAGGTTGTGACCATGGGTCTCCATTTCTTTGATAAGCTTCTGATGATTTTCTTTACATGATCTGCTATTGAGTATCCTTTGTCCAGAACTTTCAACCCAGCAACCCGAATTTTAAACTTTGAGAACATTGTCTCAACTGTTTCATCTTCTTCTATCTTGAAAGCTTCGTACTTCTGGATGAGTGCAAGAGCTTTGGTCTTTTTGACTTGTGTGTTTCCTTCATGCGTCATTCTTAGAGAGTCAAACATGTTTTTAGCAGAATCTCTTTTTGTGATCTTCTCATACTCGGTGTATGAAATAGCACTCAAGAGAATCTTATGGCCTTGTGATGATTTCTGAACTCTTTCTTTTGTTGATCTGTCATTTTTTTTCTATCAATCTTCTGATCGTTTTCATCACAAGGATGAATGTAGCCATCAGTCACCATACCCCAGAGATCAGTGTCATGAGCTAGAAAGAAAATTTTGATTCTGTCTTTCTAGTAATCTAAATTTTTACCGTCAAACATTGGGGGTCTGCCGTTGATTTTGTCTTTATCGTCATAGTTATCATTGTTGTTGTTCTGAACTGGTTCCACCATAGTGTTTTTCTTGCTAGGATCTTTTTCTGACACGGTTAAGTGTTAGCACCCAGAACCAGGTGCTCTGATACCAATTGAAGGATAGAAAAACACAATAAAGGGGGTTTGAATTGGAGTTTTCAAAAATTAAAAACAGTAAGACACGTTTGGTTATCCTGGTTCATTTGAACTCAAACTACTACAGTCCACCCGCCAAAGTGATTTTTCCTCTCTCAATCGAGGTCTTAATCCACTAATCAAAATTTTGATTACAACTCACAAAGACTACCGTCAATGTCTTCTTGAGACTAAACCACAACTTGATTTCTCAAGGAATTACAAAATGTGAATAAAAAATATGTACAAAAATGTTTCTAGAAAACTGTATCACAATTGTGATGTTTTACACAATGTTAAAGCATAGTGAATAGTATAATAGATAAAAGAGCTTTATGAATATTTCTATTGTATGCACGCAAGTGTTGTTTGATCACCCTTCAAGAACTCCTTTATATAGGCGAAGCTCTTTAGATCCATTTGAGACATGAGAAGATGTTTTTGGAAGGTTGATAAAATGTTGTTAATGCACTTTCCAAAAATATAGATCTTTCCTGGTTCCAGCCGTTACTCTTTGATTTGTAATGAATGAAATGTAATGCATCAGAATTTTGCTTCTTTGAAATCTGATCAGAATAAGAATAATAATGTTGACACTTTAGATCATCAGAGTATTGTTTCATTAGATTTTACCTTGCAGTTTTTGTGCTTCAGAAGTTATAACATCAGAACTTCTTCTATTGAGCGTGATATTTTAATTTAGTTTGTACAGATATTCTTATCAGATCTTCTTAGCGCGCAATTTATTCGCCAACTTCTATGCTTCTTTATCAGAACTTCTCTGCATATTTAAATAATTTATTAGAGAGCATAATTGTTCTTTATATATATATCATGTATTTGTTATCATCAAAACTATTACTAAGATGTAGAACCAAACTATGTTCTAACATTTCTATCGTTTATGTTAGCAGCAACCATTTAGAAGGTTTTTCTCATATTGGCTCTCTACACGGTTAAGTGTTTGATTAGAAAATCAATAACAGAGTCGGAGCTCTGATACCAATTGAAGGTTGAGAAAAACATAAGAAAGGGGGGTTTGATTGGGTTTTCAAAAACTTTTTCGTTTAGAAGTTCTTTACACAAACAATCAAAATAGAATCAATGCTATAGAGAGAAATAATGACACGTTTGATTTATACAAGTTCACCTTAGAAAAGGCTACTTTTGTCCACCCGCCAAGGTGATTTCACCTTAGAAAATGACTTTATCCACTAATCTTGAAAGATTACAAATGCATAGCAAAGCAATAATAACCTGTTAGTGATCCCTTAAGAATTCGGACATACCCAATCCCCTAAAAGATATAACGATCACTGACTCCTTAAGACTTCTAACCTACCCGATCCCTTGAAAGAGATTTCTCTAAATCTTCTTGAGTATTTCTCTAAATCTTCTTGAGTATTTTGTCACATCAAAAGATTCTGATAACCGGATCTTAAGAGGAACTAAAACAATGAAATCTTCATATGTTAAAAGAATAGAATCTAAATTTATTTTTTTACAAGTGTTTTTCAATATGCAAGTAGACAAAATACCTATTAACGGTAGGTAAATAAGTATAGGGTGAATCTTAGGACATGTTTTGATGCGGGAAAAAAAAGTGAGTCCGAAGATGATCTAAATTCTGAAGTGCATTTTTGAAATTTCTTAGAATGTTTTTCCACTGCTTAGATGGGATAAGCAATTCCCAATTGCTATATATTTGCTCAGTGATGATAAGTCTATATGTGAGCATAATAAAATAAAGTATTTTCTTTCATTATGTTCGCGGAGAGAACTAAGATCATAAAGCAAATAAACCTAGTTTAACACTAACTTGTCCAGCACCTCCTACGTTTAGAACCAATGAATGTGTTTGGAACATGAATTTGTGACACTTTCTTTTTCTCTTTCTTTCCTTGGTTCCAAACATAGTACAAATGATTGTATAGTGACACTTGATGATCCATAAAAGTGAATAATTTGACTTTTTTAATACCCTATGAACCCAACCAAGCAATTCAAACCCATTATATATCTTTTCCTATTGTGCAAGAATGTATAAACCCTCTGTTTTTTCAAAACAATTATAACACATTCTATATCCCTCTTGATTTGTTGGAACCTTTAAACTGTGCCTTCTGAAAAGAACTCTCCAGAGTAGCAGAAATCAACCTATTTAAGGGACCAGCTCCTACCTTCTGGTTTGCGGTTATCAGTACACCTTATCACCAATCAAAAGGGTAATAATGACAAGTGCAACAGGAGCAATAACTGAATTTTTCTGCTCTACGATTGGGAACCGTTGATGTCGTTAGATGTTGCAATATATGATGTGAATTATATTTTGTTCTCAAAAATCATATGCAAGAAACCATTCTCAAAAATCATATTTTGTTCTTCCACTTCCCAAAATGAGGCATAACATATCAGCAATTTCTGGAGTTGCTGAATAAAAATTCCATGATTCGAGCATTAGACGTTTTCTTGATCCTTTAAAATGAACAACCTGCATCCCAAAAATAAGCCAGGAGTGGAAATTAACAAAAAACTCAACCAAAATTCGAGTATAACTCCAAGCATTCAGCTAGTGAGCATTATACCTTAACATTCAAAGGCATGCCATGAAATTGACCAGCACCCTCTGGTGGAGTCCAGTTGTATATGGCACAGGGTAAGAACAATATTGAAGTACCACCAATGTCATCAGAGAAAGCAATTGTTTTGGCAAATCTGCTGGCATCGAAATGAGGTTTTGACTTCACAACCCAAGCAAGAGCTAACTGATCACCCAGCATGCGGGAAGCATTTATGTATTTTGAGACATAAATTTTCAAAACCTCTTGTAGGAAAAGCTTTGCCCTGTGTTGATTCTCAAATTGGATTTAACAATTAGATAGCAGAAAAATGGAGAAATAAATCAGGATTTAACAATTAAGATATAATAGTCAACCTGTACAATTTAGATTTTAGGACAAGCGAACAGGGAAAAATGCTTTCAAAAATTAAAATGCCTTGTGGATAGTGTATACTATAGTGCAAAAACTTTTGCACTATAAACGGATGATAATTAAATATTAAAAGTACTTTTTTTTCCTTCTCAAAAACCAGAAACGAACATGACAATTGTCATGCAATTAGTTTGCAGGTCCTGTATGTGAATAATGTGATTCACAAAAAGGGTAAATCCAAGTCAGATGATTGAAACTTTTTTAAACAGTGAAAACAGCATAAATACTAACCAATTACACAATCAGTCTTTAATTTTAATGTTTTGTAATAGTATCATGTAACTGCAATTGTTAGAATCAAAACCTAATATTTATTATTGGGTAGAATTAGCAAATCATATCAATTAGTGTTTATTGTGTTTATTCTATAAGCTACTATAAATATACAGAAGTGAGTGAGTATACTCTGTTTTTATAGACACAAATTCAACAGCAATTAAGCAAAACTATGGATTGTATAGTACAGTCAATTTACCTTAAAATTCCATCAGAAGTACCCCTTACTGCAATGAATCCTGAATTCAAAGGCTGACCCTTGTTGTTCCTGAAGGTCAGAGCCATATGAAAATTAGGATAGTCACGAAAAATCTGCCCTAAATCATCAACCACTGCCATATCAGAATCAGTGAAGATGTAATGAGTGATATCCCTCGAATTCTGAGAAAGCTTGTGAAGTCGTGTTTCTAAAAAGGTCTGTAAAGAAGGAAACAAAAGGTTATTTATATAAATTTTAACATCTGTATCATCTTCACGGATAATGATACAACAAAACTACTAGAACTATGCGATTGAGAGTGACATAACGTCGAAGAGAAAAAATGATAAAGATAGAAAGCACCTATGATCTATTCCCGTTCACGTGATTCGGGGAAAACCGCTATAGTATTCATGTTGCATTTAGTAGACAGACAAAGAATGAAATGGGAAAAGCGAGCAGCTATTTTTAACGAAAAAAGATCTATATATACTGTGGATACAATGTGATCTTACAATGTAAGACCTGATCCTTTGGAGCATCAACTTGTCTCTTGAATATTCACCTTGTATGGGATACAGAGAGACCCTATTTCTGTGCACTGAAAGGTCAGAAACTGGATCTGTGAGAATAATCACTTCGCTCTGGGGCATTGCTACCTGCACATGTTACCCACACCAAATATTTAATGATGTCTGTTTGGTATAATTGTCAGAGTATAGTTTGTCAGAGTATAATATTGACAAAGACAACACACTTAACCAAACTATACTGAATAATTAAGTAACTGTAGAAACAATAATCAAACAATTACCTGAATGAAGTTAATGAAGATATTCAACACAGCCATTGACCTGTCCATCTTATTATATGAAGTGTTTCCAACAACTGTTTTGGATGATTTATCATCTACTATATCGAGAGAAGAATTATAAATAGTAAAGACAGTTACAAATGTAATACTTCCATCTACACCTAATCTGTCATTTGAAGAATGGGTCCTGTTGAGAGCTTTTGATCCTGTGAATTGCGGAGATGTAAAATGCATTATAAGAATAAATAGAAACCAAAGTAATACGGACAGGATAATAAGGAGTAAAATGTGAAAGCTAAAAAATGAACGTTTTCAAACATTTACAATCTAAAAAAGATACCATACTTATTGGATGTAATATGTAATAGCAATTACAAGTTTTTCTAGATTAGGAAACTCATAAGTAAAAATTCCTTACTAACACAATCACTATGCGGATAAACATACATAAAACAGATAAAGGAAATTAAGAACATGCCGAGATATAAATATCTTCAGAATAAGATTTATGAGAAATCAAGGTGATCCACAAACTTGCTCTAAAGTATTATGCCATTTGGTTCAAATTACTAGTCCTATGATAAATATCAAAAAAGAAAGAAAAAAAAACTTTACATAATAATAACACCCAATTCGTGATATGTCACATTGGAAAGAGTGGTTTTGTAAAATTTACAATTTCTGTTAAAGCAGGTTCGTGAGAAGTTGATCTTGAACTATAAAAGGAAAATAACCAGACCAGAGAAAATACTTTCGTACAATCTGCAATAACGATAAGCCAAAGAAACACACGAAAATCAGAGACTTGGAACCAATTTAAAAAATAAAAAACTGCACCAATAATAACCCATTCCTAATTTCATGATTTTGTGATTAAACTGCCTAGCGCCTATAATTGACTCCCAAAGTCCCAATGAGTGCAACCCTTCCGTAATGCCATGTCAGGAGCCTTATAGCACTAGGTTTACTCTTAACAACGTCAAACATGGTAATATATTAGAAGCAACAACACTTCAAATATGGGGCATTTGAGAAAAACTAATACCAGTTCAACATTTGTGAATGCTATTATGCAATATTATTAAAATCCCAAAGACAAAAGACAAAAGACAAATTAAGATGAGTCATCAGTACCATTATAAGATACAACAGAAGATTTTAAGACAACTTATCAGGAATCACATCATTCTGAGCAAAATATTCAAGAAATATACCATAATTTAAATAACTAATTTATAGAGACAAAAGGAACCTTGGCATTGCAAACGGTTTGACAAGCCTTGGCCAGCAGCAGGACCAAGAACCAGATGATCAAATTTCTTGTTTAGTTGTTTATGGGGTTCTGACATTTTTGAGCTGCTCAGCTCTCTGACTGCTGAGAATACAACCAAGTTCACTTGTAAAGATCAATTACACATGACACAGAATGATTTGTACTTAAAGAAAAAATTGAAAGGGATTACGTACCAGAATACAGACGAGTAAGGAGTAAAATTAATAGAACACCAAAAGCAAAACGACGCCAACCACTGAACATTTTCATGCTTCATAAATGCTCAATTTATGTCCAATACCATGTAAAAAGAAGTGGAAGAAAGAAATGCCCTGCCACCAAAGGCACTGTAGCTGCACAAAAATGGAAAACTAACTTAGAATGATGCTTTTAATGCTAAAATTACAAATAGATGACAGAAAAAATTGGATAAAATATGGTAAATTTTTCCATTCACAATTCTTCGGGTTAGGCCCCCCAAAAAAGAAATATTTTACGTTTGAAAAATTGGGAGAATCGTGTGAATTTAAGGCATATTATATCTACAAGTGAATAATTGTAATTTAGCTTAACCAAAATATACTGGCCCAGGTCGGCCTATTGCCGGCCTTCAATGGACAGGAATAGGCTAGTTGGTGATAATCTAAAGTCAAACTAAGGTGCTAAAAGATGCTGTGTGTTGGAATTAGAGTTAGTATTGGGAGTTGTATAGCCATTATATTCAGATTGTTGTATATAATTAGCCATGAACCTATGGAATATCATACATGCACAATACGAAGTAACAATATTGTTGATCTCCTTGTAAACGTAAATTATGTTTGTATTTATTTATATATTTACCGCTAAGAGAGTATAAATAGAAGATCAGCTGAGAAACTTATTTGTAAGGAGTTCATCAATAGAGTTGTTAGCTCAAGTGATCAACTAATAGAGATCTTCACAAAATCTCTATGAGGGCAAAGAGTTCAATTTATTTGTTCCAAGCTTAGAGCATTTCACTTGTATGCTCAAGCTTGAGGGGGAGTGCATTTACATAGTTATACATGTACCTAAAGAAGACCGTGCATGCACTTGGGAAGTAGCAATGTTATAATCTCACTGCAAATGTAAATTACATATATTTATTTATAGCTAACTTAGATTCAACCGAGCTGTGAAAAGGACAGACTTGACTAGTGTTGAAATGTATTTGATTTAATTTATATTTTTGATATCGGTACCTGTTTTCCTAATTTTCTGAAATTAGAGATTATAAAACATGTAATAGACATTCAACCATGATTGAATCTGAGATAGAGAGAAAAGTGCAGATGGAACATGTATGTTGAACCTGAAACCATATACTATGATCTGAACAATAGAGAGATTACAGGGTATTTATATTAACAGTTAGTATCTGACAGAGTAACAGACGGGAAAACTACTAGTAAATATTAGTTACTTAATTATAACAGATATCAGAAAAAGATAAACAGTAGTTTCTAACCAAGTATAACAATCATAATATCATTCCTCTTGGGTGATGGCACATTTTTCCACAAGCAATTCAAGTATATTTTTTCCCTTTTAAGATCAGATGCATGGGATGCAAGTTTGGACAAGTAATAGGTGGGCGGCAGAAGATAGATAGAGAACGGTCCTTCTTTGTATGACTATATAACAAGACTTCTTTGTATGACTACATAACAAGACAGGAGGAGCTAACAATAAAATACTTCAGTATGCAATGGATGAAGGGAAGCAAGTAAGCCCCTATGTATAGACAGTAATGTTTAAAGTGGACAAAATAGGTATTTTGTCTAGGCAAAAATCAAAGTCAGGGCTGTTAATCACAGCCATAGTTTGTCCACAATCAACCACTACTGTATTGTAGCCAGTAGCCACAATTAATTCAACACTGAAAATTATACACAATAGTTGTTTAGGCATGGCATACATCCATTCCTCTATGATTTACGGTGACTGATAACCTCGTTAGCATTAGTGCCAACTGCCAGCCAATTGTTAACATTTTAAATTGCAGTCGATAACCACAACTGCATTTGTCTAAAATTTTAAACTTTGGCAACTAGCAAAAATTTCCAACACACTGCATAATAAATACAGTAATTCATGAAAATTAGGTTTATAAATAGCTCTTGAACTTGCAGCTAATATTTTCAAAGGAAACATCTTAATAATCAGTGTATCAATTGCGAAAATAAGTAACTTGGAAATTTTGTTTTATTACTATGTTAGATAGTTTGAAGTAGAATCTACTTCAGGTTCAGAAGCCAGGCTTCAACTTCATCATCATCCTCCAAATCCACTTGTTTATGGAGCTTTTATGCCTTTGTCATGAGGTGAATGTACCAATGTTTATTAACCAATAGCTCATAGCCATAACTAGAATATACTTCTGGTTCAGTAGCCAAGCTTCAATTTCATCATCATCCTCAAATTAACCTGTATACGGTGCTTCTATTTCTTCGTCATGAGGTGAATGTACCAATATCTCATACCCATCACTGGATGTTTCTTAACCAGAAACTCATTTCTGTAAGCCTCCCTAAGCACAACAGTCTGAGTCCTAATCTTATTACAGATGTAAAATATACCAGGGTGATGAACCAAAGCCTTCTTAAATCTCGAGCCCAACCCCAAACACTCTCCATAGCAAATCAAATTCTCTCTTTCTGTCTTCTTTGACACTAAAAGAGAAAGCAACTCATGCAAAATCGCCACTGTCCACTTCTCTGCCTGGTCACTATTCGAGTCAAGATGAAATGCATTTTCGTATGGAGAAATGTAAGGCAATGTTTGCCAAACATCAACCCAAGTTTTCACCCTTTTCTCTAAAGCAAAACTTGAGGGCAAAAACATGGGAAACGCAATATCATGTCTTCTTTTATCTGCACCATAGTTCAAGCCCATTACCCTCTTCTCTAACTCAGACACACAAAGATCTTTTCTCCAAGAAACAAGTTCTAAAGCAAGCACTTCTTCCCCAGACAACGGATCTTTCACCACACAAACATCAAAATAATCGGGGTAATAAGCCAAAAGAGTTCTAACATAATCATGAGGTAGACCCATATCCCATTTTAGCTTCTCAATCACATAAATCGGCAATCTCCCCATGCCAGCAAGCATCAGAAGCCTCGCAAGCCTCCGCGCAGTCTCTTCACGGTTAGTCATAGAATTATGCACTTCCATCTCTTCTTTATGGAGCGATAAAGCTTGAGCAGTAAGCTTAACGCGTGGAGGGAGTCCAGGACCCGGCTGGAACTGAGAGAAAACATGATGATGTTTCTCAACAAATTTAATAGTCGTCATAGGAAGGTCAAGTGAAGATTTCAACATAGACGCATTGTAGACGGATAACGATTTGGAAGGAGACGAAACAATATGGTTCTTGAGAGAAATCACGTGTTTAAGATTTTTCTCTTTGAGAACTGCAGTGTCGAGATCAAGATCTCGAACCCATTTAACCCTCGCATTCACGAAAGTCCTAATGTGGTTGAAGTTGTGATAGAGTTTGGTGGAACAAGCCATTAACAACCAGCTCAATACCCTGTAATGTGGAAACTAAAACTATATAACTTTTTGTATACAGATTCTATAAAACTACTCAGATCAATTTTGTACTTGGTCTTAGCATTAGAGTTGAAGCAATATATGAATTTCGAATATTCAAAACTATTAAATCAGAGTGTTGCAAATTACTGAAAAATCATGTGATAATACTTCAAAACCCTAAAAGAAAAATTAAAACATAAATTCACGTAGGATAGGGGAAAGAAAATGTGAAAAACAGAAATTGGAAAATCTGGACTCACTGATTCTGGCGGCCCACGGCGGGATCTGCCTACGATTTCCGGCCGGATTTTACTGAATTTGGCGACTTGAGATCGGTGCGGGGAATGCAGCTTTTTGAAGGAGAAGAAACTTTAATGATTTCTTATCGGGTTAAATAAATTTTAGGTCCTATAAATATCTCAAATTTAGTTTTTAATCCTTCAAATATTTTCTTTTAAAGATTGATCTCTTTAAAATATTCCGTTTGAATAATTGGTCTCCAACGTTAAGTTTTACTAACGGCTTCCTATGTGGCAAGACAGGTGGATTAAATAATTTGTTTTATATATTTTCATAGAATACAGTGTGTACACTGGCTATTTATTAAAGTTGAGTCACATGTATTTTGACCTAATTCCTTTCCTTTCCTCTTCGTTCACAATCTTCTTCGTGGAAATCCTTTGGTCGGTTGGTTTGGTGGTTCGTCTTCCTTCTTCTTTCTGCTTCAGTTGGTTTGGTGGTTCACCTTCTTTCTTCTTTCATCTTTGTCATCCTTCAGCTGCATAACACTAACGTCTATTGCTTCTATAAATCGCGAGTTGGGAAGTTTTGTGACTGACAGGTTCGGATGGTATCGTATTGTTGCAAGAATGGACCAAATAAGGGTAGGTTGTTTTGGAGATGTCCTTATTGGCAGGGTTCTGATACGTGTAATTTATTCATATGGGATGAAGATCTTGGCGTAAAATCTGGAAATGAAGATGTTACCATTAGGAACTCAGAGTTGGAAGTCATGGCATTTGTGGGATATATGAAGATTCAAGGAAGAAGAACAAGAACTTGAAGGCCAAATTGAAAATTGAGAAATTTCATGGAAGATTGAAGACGTTGTGTCATTTATGATAAATGTGTATTTTGTTATCAATTGTAGTTGTTGAATTGTTTAATGCAATGAGAATGTACTGTGATTGTAGGTCTTGCTTCAATATGCTTGATAAAAGTACTTGATATTTGTTATCAATTGTAGTTGCTGAATTGTTATCAATTATAGGTGCTGAATCGTTATCAATGTTGTTTGTTATGATTAAGTTGACATAATTTGCAATATTGGCATAAAAAGCTTATAATTTGACTGTTAAGTGTATAACTAAGCACATATTGAGACATGAGTACAAAATACATTAAAAATTCAAAGTGCATAACAAAGCATATTACAAAGTGCATAACAATTCACATTACAAAGTGCATAACAAAACACATTACAAAACACATAACAAAGTGCATAACAAAACACATTACAAAGTGCATAACATTACACTTGGTTCATAATACAACATTTATTTGTTTCATAAGACATAAGGTACAGCCAAACTACATTTGTGTCACTCTTGAGCTTTCACTGAGTCATGCTCTTCTGGATGTCATCCCATTTCTTCTTTCCCTTTTCCCTAGAATTGTCAATAGTTGAGTCTTCTTCAGGTATTACAAATGGATCATTTGGATCCCTTCCAGGTCCCTCTATATTCTTTATCATCAAAGTCCTAAGTCTGTCACTCTTTTTAATTGTAGATGCAATAATCTTTGACTTTTTCCTTGGTGATATCATGATTTTCACCTGTTATGAAAATATAGTGTTATCATGGTAAAAAAAATAAGACATGCCAAATAAGTTTATCAGAACAAGTTACAAACTTACAGGGTCACTCGTAGTTGGGTTAGCAGCAGGTTTTGATACCTTAGGATATTTACCAATAAAGGTTTTGGGACCAGGCATATTATTCTTTGCAGGACTATTATCAATTCTTAATGGTGGAATATCTAGTATGTCATCATCATTCAACAACGCCTCTAGTTCATCAGGATCTATACCACATTACATTCTCATTGCCTCAGACGAGGTAACCGAATTTTGTGAAAGGTGTACTCCAGATTGAGTAGGTGTCACATCAGTTGGTGCAAGGTTTTCTTCAGGTTAAGTAGCATGACTCATATTTGTTCCAGTTGGTGCTTGAGCCTCATTTCGTACCTCATTTCCTGTAGTATCCTGACTCTCATTTCCTGCAGTAGCATGACTCTCATTTCCTGCAGTAGCATGACTCCCAGTTCCTTCAGTAGTATGACTCTCATTTTCTACAATAGTCTGACGCTCATTTTCTATGTTTGATTTCTTAGATGTGCCTTTTTTTTTTGGTTGTACCTTTTGGCCCATCCTGCATCCAACATAATTGAAACAAGATATTGAAAATTATATATGAATTTCTAATGTAAAATTTTTGTTCAATTTGAGTTACTAACCCTTTTTTTGGATCCTGCAATAGCCACATTTTGTGTTTGGCTTCCTTGGGTGGGTGCAACATCTCTTGGCAGTTCACCTTCAACAACTGTCAATTGTTTATTTTTCTTACATGTCCTTGTATTGTGTCCATATTCCAAGCAAGTCTTACACCTGTGGCTTGTGTTTATCCTTTGCCATCTTGTTTGACTTGTCTCATCTAGATCTCTTCTTCTGAGTTTCTTTGGTCTACTAGGACCTCTCTTGTAACTTAGTGGTAAGATTTCAAGGTTACCAGTCCTTGGCCATTTGTTTTAGCCATTAATGGGATTTATAACTTCATTGTAACATGAGACATAGGTAGACCTATGGTAACACTTGTGTACATACTTAATGGGATTATCTATCTTCCTATGTATGACTGCAACATCATGTCTACATGGGATCCCAACCAGGTCCCAAAAGTTACAAGAACAAGTATGTTTTGCCAAGTCTACAACATAATTTTCTGTGAACATTACATGACTTACCTGAAATGTTAGTTTACCTCCATATGTGGGCAGCCAATTAGCACTTTTTTCTATTTCCCTATCTAACCTTCTAAGTGGTTTAGACATTATCTCTCCTTTATAATTTTCAACCTTCTCCCTAAGAGTGGAAAACCTAACCATAAGATAGTTCCTAATCCACTCAAACATGGTAATTATAGGTTTATCCCTTTGCATCAAAATAGTAGCATTTAATGATTCACTTAGGTTGTTCATAATAACATCACACTTAGAGTACAAGGGAAAGTCATGTTTACACCATTTATTCTTGGGAATAACATTTAGCCATCCAAAAGCATCTGGACTTACCTCTTTAGTTTGATTCATCTTATCCCCGTGAGCTTCAAAATAGGTTCCCTTTGCTGCATCCATTATGAGATCTCTATATAGTGTTCCACCCCCAAACTTCTTCTTGAAGTTAGCATATAAATGACTTAAGTAAAACTTGTGTTCAAACTCAGGATATTCTTTCTCAAATACATTCACCAGTCCCTGCATATACATGACCACCACATCAATAAGTAACTTTAATCACTAAATAAACAAGTAACATTAAACATATCTTTTGTTGATCAGACATGAAGCACCACCTATTATCAGAACCAATGTCTTCATGAAGTAACTTAACAAACCAACTCCAAGAGTCCTTAGTTTCATTATCCACAACCCAAAGGCAAGTGGAAGATACTGGTCATTGGCATCTCTACTGACAGCTATCAACAAGATTCCACCATATTTGTTTTTTAGGTGACATCCATCTAACCCTATGAATGGTCTACATCTAACCTTCAATACTTTCTTTGTACCATCAAAACACATGTAACACCTTTCAAACCTAGGTGGAAAACCAGAAATGTTCAACTTAAATGTGTTTCCTTTGGATGCTCTCCTCAATTCAGCTCCATATGACCATAGCATATTGTATTGCTTGGCTGAGTCCTCTTCAACAACCTTTCTAGCTAGCTGCCTTACTTTGAAAGCTCTACATCCAGTAATTTCTGTAGCAAACCTCAATATTACATCTGCTACAACTTCATTCAATTTCATACCTGAATTATTCTTTAACTTGTCAACAATCACTCTAGATACCCAACCAGCATTAGCATTCTTGTTGAAGAACTTTCTTCCACATTTGTGCTTCTAAAATAGAGTTTTGATCCTGAATAATGTAGTTCTTAAAACCATGTTGCATAAAACTGTGTAATCACATTGTTGTTTGTCATTACAAATAACCTTACACCTTGTCCCATCATTTTTGGCAAACCTGATCTCCCTACCATTCAACACATTATGTTCCAGTACAACCTTTTTAAATTGCTTCAGAGAAGAAAATTTCATTCCCACCTTGAATTTAAATTCTTTTCTAAGGTTTTCATGTTCATTAAACCTTATCACTGAAGACCTACTGTAACGCCCATTAATTTAATTAATTATTTAATTAAATTATTTTTGGATTATTTATCGAAGTTGTGAGATGTTGAGAATTATTGGTATAAGTTATTAGATTATTATTAATTAATTAATTAGTTAATTAATAATAACAATAATGTTGGAATTAAGGGAATATATATAGTGTTGGACTTATGTTATTGGTTGGAAGTAGTAAAGTGTGAGTGTGTATGTTAGGCCCAATAGGATATATATATATATATATATGGTTAAGCCGACACAAAGATTTGTTTTAGTTGGAGAATAAGAAGTTATGTACGTTGACCGGAAGAGCTGCGCGGAAGAGGAGCAAGCTGCCCGGTATCGAGCAGAGCAAATCAAGGATTACAGATGGAGCTTTGGTGGAGAGACCTTCAGTCTAGTTAAGGGTGGGGTTCTGACCTTATAATGGGATTTATGATGTGTATCACATAGGAATTGGTCATTGTAGGCATGTTGTGCGTTGATGTTTCTAAATTTGCTATCGAAGTTGCCTAGTTGTTTGTTGT